TATCAATATTTTGAGAGGAACAATAAATAACAGGATTCAAGAAGCTTACTTTTAAAGATTTAAAGTGGACTAGATAGAGATGGCCAACTCCAGAATGTGTCTTAGTAGCTTAGAATAAAAAAAGAAAACAATAAAAAGAAAATTATGCATCTGAGCAAACCACATTTTATATGCCAGCTCATTGATTAGATTGAGTGAATAGTACTATAGACTCAGAGTCTTTGCGAATTAGATATTTTGTTTGTGTGTGTGTGTGTGTGTGTGTGTGTGTGAGAGAGAGAGAGAGAGAGAGAGAGAGAGAGAGAGAGAGAGAGAGAGAAGGCTGGACAATCACAAAAGAAAAGCAAAATGCTTAAAATAAGTTCCATAGATCATATAATACAGTGTTATTGGGATTGGCCAGGACTGATGTGGATATATAAAGGCAGAGTTCAAAAAGTCATTTTTATTACAACTGATGGAGATTAAGAACAGGCAACAACTCTTTACCTTAATTGTACAGCAACTGACCCCAAACAAAAAAGGAATTTTAGAAATTAAAATAAAAGTTTTCTTCAAGCTAGGAAGCAAAGTATGTTGGAAACAAAAGTTGATGCTTCTGTAACAAAAAGCAACATGCCTAAGATTCCCCCAACAGATTATTTACAGCTAAAATCACACAATAGCACCAAAACTCACAAGATCTCATGACATGCTAGTATAGGTGTTCATACAAAGTTGGAACCAACTTGTGATCCCACGATCATGCGTTCAGCTTTAAAAGTTCGCCACCCAGGATTTTTCAACAATAACTAGTATGACAAAGCAACTCTCATATAACCATGGATGTTTGATTGATAACGTTTAGATCCCATAATTTAATCTTCCCCTGGGCCTTATCAGTGGAGTATCTGCGCTATACGGCAAAGAAGAAAAGCAGTTGGATATTAAATTAGATGCTAGAGATTTGACATATAATTCGATAACTTATTTTATATGCCCACACTCCCCAAATATAATCTTTCACATTACTATTTGATCCAAAATGCTACAATACTAATTAGCACTCAAGGTCAAGCCCAGAGAAGAGATGAGAAATGAGGCTTGAAAGGTAGGAGGGATTTCAGATTGCCGCCATAACAATCTACTTTCAGAATGCATTCTGAACAGAATTCTCTTATTATCATTAGGAACAATGTAGGCAACATAAATGACATGGCCTATGAAACTTAAATCGGTATAACAGTACTAGAGACGACTCTAGATAGAACAACTGAACAAAGCGGTTGGAACAGACACATAGATGAATTACGGATTGGAAATGGAGCCGTTTTATTCTTTGAGCAAAGTCAAATCATGAAGAAGGAATATTTCATGGTAGGCAATCTTCAAGGTAATTGTGTTTTTTTAAACTTTTCTCTCTTGTCCCCCAAATAAACATGTCCGCAACATCCACTTGGATAGCCTTTTCGTATGTAACTCATACATAGCTACAGAAGGTTATCTTTCCACATGAGCTCTACCCATTGACCTCCCATGTGGAGTCTGGAGGACAGGACAGGAAATGGTAGTTGTGAGCAATCACTTGGATCACTAAGCATTGGAAAGACTTGAGGTCCCATTTCACCCTTTATGAAACCCAAATCTCCCCAGTAATTGTGGAGCTGAGCTGACTCTACCCATTTTTCAGGACAGAGTCCTTATTATACCACACAAAATCTGCTGTGGCCCTGGAATCAGTGGAAATTGTGTGCTCCCTTTTTGGACTCTAAATTAGGATTTAGAGGACAATCCTGTGTTTTCCCTTCCCATTAGGCACTGTCATCAAAGTCAAGAGCTCGGGATCATGGCAAATAAGGCTCAAACAGTCTATTCATTCCCGTGCTAAAAGATATTTCATGTTAAAGTAACATCTGCTAATTGTTGTGACTCTGAAAATACTGAAATTCAAAAATAACAAAAATAATTCTGACAGAGACACGGTGAAAAGAGGCCATGTTAACAAAATCCTGAATAGAAGATTTACTAAGCATGATTCTAGTGGTTGAATTAGAGCATAGGAAACTCTGATTCAGAGTTCTTACCTGAATCCCAAGAAAGGCAGGCTTGAACTAAGAGAATAAAGCTATAGATATTTGGACTAGACCGATCCATCTCAAAGGCAGGTGGCTGGAAGAAGGCACCTCAGTTAATTAGCCTTATATTTTAATTGCAAATTTTATCAAGGTGCCATCTGGCCACTATTCTACAAATGGAAGATAGCTATGGAGTATAACTTCCTTCCAAATGACGATGGTGAATATATTAAGGTCATGTTTCTAAGGAAGCTTATTTGGAAATGTGTTGTACCAAGTACATTGGGATTCATCTGCAGGTAGAACATTAGTTGTAGCCCAACTTCACAGCAGAAGAAATGAGATGTATGACTTAAAAGGATTTTCAGTTCATTTAGAGTAAAGGTTAGATACAATATTAAAATATAAATCAATTTCATTGTCCCATGTGATTCATAATCATAGGTAATCGAGTAATCATAGAGCCTGATTACTTGAGGGTCTACCTATTTCCCATAGTTTTTGCCCAACTGATCAGATCTGGCTGGGTGATCATTGAAGAAGTTCTTCTCCAGGGCTTTGGTGAGGGTGGGAAAAGCCTCCTCAGATTGTATGAGTTTGTTCCTTCCCTGCTCCTCACCCCACGTTCCTGTCTGATTTTGTCATCTATCTTTGTTATTTATTCTTTTTGTTTTTTTACTGTATTTTTTAAAACTGTTTTTATTTGTGTGCTGGCCAAAGTCACTAGGAGTTGGCCAGCACTATATATATATATATAGATAGATAGATAGATAGATAGATAGATAGATAGATAGATAGATAGATAGA